AAATTTTGTCAGAGGCTCTTCCTCTAGGTCAGAGCTGTGCCAAGCCAATAGCTCTGGATGCCAGTCGCCAGTGGAGTAAGCATTGGGTGTGAATGCCGCCACAGGCACCCAGTCGGCTTCTTGCAGATGCCCTTTGGCCAATGTGAACTGAGGTCACATGTTGAGAAGCGGCCCCAGTTCCCTTCAGTGGATGCTTCTTAAGCTGCCACTCTGTGCCAGGTGCTGGGGACAAGCAGTCACGAGACCAGATTCTGGCCTTGTGCTCACACTCCAGTGACAAAGGCTTGAACAGTGATCAGACATCCTAGAAAGTAGCAAGTGCCCTGAAAGAGAAGTAGACACTGAGCTCTAGAGGGCTGAGGGAGGAGGAATCTGGGGAGAGCATGTGCATGATTCTGGAAAATCTTGAGAAAAATGGTATCTTTTTGGACACATTCATATATCCAGATCCCCAGATCCCTTCAGGCTTCATAGATGCTGTGGAGTATGTTTGGCAAACATCAGAAACAGATTTTTATTTGGAGACCATGCTATTTGGCTTCAGCATTAGTACCATCCAGATAGTACAAGGATTATGTGTTTCTCAGAGAAGGTGGAGACACTCCCTGTTTAATGCAAAGAAAATCCATAACACTTGGTGGAAGAAATTTGTGAACATCAACATCACTTTCATATCTAAAAACCACATAAAGGATTCAAGTAAACTTTTTTTCTAATTACACATAAAAGAGAGTTTGTATAGTGGCAGATCTTAACATCATCTCTAGGCTTGTATCAAGGTGACTGGACAAGTTAGCATGAGAAAGCTTAGTGCCTTCGGTCAAGTAGGCTGCCATTGTGATTGATGGGGAGCTGAAATTAGGGAGAGACTAAAGAAATTTGACTTCATGGAGAAGCTGGCGGCAGTTTAAGAGCATTCTTGGGTGAGGAGCAATCCCAGTTTCTCCAGTCCATAGCATTGCTATGAGAATCATAGCACTGTGTGCCAAAGTCAGTTCTAACCTGGGAAGTCTTGGTAGTTGAAAACAGGTTCTCTTATCTTTATTTGAAATGTACAGTTACATGATTGTTGACTTCCCTTGTGTGGCTAGAAAGGCTATTTTTGATCTAGAAACATCTCTTTCTTCAAAGGTGAACTGAATAGACTATCCAGTGTCCACAGACGGCACTCACCAGTTTCTTCAATTCTCGTTCTTGGGTAAGAAAATGCTTTTCACCTTTTAGATTTTTGCTTTATACTTACTTTTTATATTGTACTGTGCGTTTGTAATCTAATGGAAGTAAGAGTCCTCTGTGTTTTGAAACTGATTGTCAAGTTGTAAGTGATTGGGGGTAAATCTAAGTAATGAACTGCATTTTAAAATAACACCTGAATTAGTCAATAATTCAATAATTCATACAATCAAGATGTGCTCAGTTAAAGCACAGGTCAAGATGTAACATCATTCAACTAGTCACAATCAACTCTTAACACTGGTGAATTGAATACATGTGAAATTGTGTAGCAAATATTATTTGTGTAAACAAATAATAAAAATATCTGTTTAGAGATGTCATTGATTTTTACCAGCTACAGAAATGCAGGAAAGAAAAGATGTCTTGGTTTTGGTAAATTGGAGATTTTAGATCAATGATGTGTGTGTGTGTGTGTGTGTGTGTGTGTGTGTGTATGTATACATGCATGTAAACTCAATTGTAGAACAAATGAAAAGAGAACTGAACTTGAATGCAAATTTTTTGCATCTAATATTATATTTATATAGGTGTGTATATGATGATATATTCCCATAAATGAAAAATCAGCCTGAAGTCAGGGAGCCTGATTCTGCCAGCTCCACTTTTCATTCTCAAGACTGCTTTGGCTCTTCGGGATCTTTTGTGTTTCCATACAAATTGTGAAATTTTTTGTTCTACTTCTGTGAAAAATGCCAGTGGTAGTTTGATAGGGATTGCATTGAATCTGTAGATTGCTTTGGGTAATAGAGTCATTTTCACAATGTTGATTCTTCCAATCCAAGAACATGGTATGTCTCTCCATCTATTTGTATCATCTTTAATTTTTTTCTTCAGTGCCTTATAATTTTCTGCATACAGGTCTTTTGTCTCCTTAGGTAGGTTTATTCCAAGATATTTTATTCTTTTTGTTGCAGTGGTAAATGGGAGTGTTTTCTTAATTTCACTTTCAGATTTTTCATCACTAGTGTATAGGAATGCCAGAGATTTCTGTGCATTAATTTTGTATCCTGCTCCTTTGCCAAATTCATTGACTGGCTCTAGTAGTTTTCTGGTAGCATCTTTAGGATTCTCTATGTATAGTATCATGTCATCTGCAAACAGTGACAGCTTTACTTCTAATTTTCTGATTTGGATTCCTTTTATTTCTTTTTCTTCTCTGACTGCCGTGGCTAAAACTTCGAAAGCTATGTTGAATAATAGTGGTGATAGTGGGCAACCTTGTCTTGTTCCTGACCTTAGTGGGAATGGTTTCAGTTTTTCACCATTGAGGACGATGTTGGCTGTGGGTTTGTCATATATGGCCTTTATTATGTTGAGGAAAGTTCCCTCTATGCCTACGTTCTGCAGGGTTTTTATCATAAATGGGTGTTGAATTTTGTCAAAAGCTTTCTCTGCATCTATTGAGATGATCATATAGTTTTTCTCCTTCAATTTGTTAATATAATGTATCACGTTGATTCATTTGCATATATTGAAGAATCCTTGCGTTCCTGGAATAAACCCCACTTGATCATGCTGTATGATCCTTTTAATGTGCTGTTGGACCTGACTTCAGACTATACTACAAAGCTACAGTAATCAAGACAGTATGGTACTGGCACAAAAACAGAAATATAGATCAATGGAACAGGATAGAAAGCCCAGAGATAAACCCACGCACATATGGTCACCATATCTTTGATAAAGGAGGCAAGAATATACAGTGGAGAAAAGACAGCCTCTTCAATAAGTGGTGCTGGGAAAACTGGACAGGTACATGTAAAACTATGAAATTAGAACACTCCCTAACAGCATACACAAAAGTAAACTCAAAATGCATTAAAGACCTAAATGTAATGCCAGACACTATCAAACTTTTAGAGGAAAACATAGGCAGAACACTCTATGAGCTAAATAACAGCAAGATCCTTTATGACCCACCTCCTAGAGAAATGGAAATAAAAACAAAAATAAACAAATGGGACCTAATGAAACTTCAAAGCTTTTGCACAGCAAAGGAAACCATAAACAAGACCAAAAGACAACCCTCAGAATGGGAGAAAATATTTCCAAATGAAGCAGCTGACAAAGGATTAATCTCCAAAATTTACAAGCAGCTCATGCAGCTCAATAACAAAAAAACAAACAACCCAATCCAAAAATGGGCAGAAGACCTAAATAGACATTTCTCCAAAGAAGATATACAGATTGCCAACAAACACATGAAAGGATGCTCAACATCATTAATCATTAGAGAAATGCAAATCAAAACTACAATGAGATATCATCTCACACCAGTCAGAATGGCCATCATCAAAAAATCTACAAACAATAAATGCTGGAGAGGGTGTGGAGAAAAGGGAACCCTCTTGCACTGTTGGTGGGAATGTAAATTGATACAGCCACTATGGAGAACAGTATGGAGGTTCCTTAAAAAACTACAAAAAGAACTACCACATGACCCAGCAATCCCACTACTGGGCATATACCCTGAGAAAACCATAATTCAGAAAGAGTCATGTACCAAAATGTTCATTGCAGCTCTATTTACAATAGCCAGGACATGGAGGCAACCTAAGTGTCCATCAACAGATGAATGGATAAAGAAGATGTGGCACATATATACAATGGAGTATTACTCAGCCATAAAAAGAAACGAAATTGATTTATTTGTAGTGAGGTGGATGGACCTAGAGTCTGTCATACAGAGTGAAGTAAGTCAGAAAGAGAAAAACAAATACCGTATGCTAACACATATATATGGAATCTAAGGGAAAAAAAAAAAGGTCATGAAGAACCTAGGGGTAAGACAGGAATAAAGACACAGACCTACTAGAGAATGGACTTGAGTATATGGGGAGGGGGAAGGGTAAGCTGTGACGAAGCGAGAGAGTGGCATGGACATATATACACTACCAAACGTAAAATACATAGCTAGTGGGAAGCAGCCGCATAGCACAGGGAGATCAGCTCGGTGCTTTGTGACCACCTAGAGGGGTGGGATAGGGAGGGTGGGAGGGAGGCAGACGCAAGAGGGAAGAGATATGGGAACATATGTATGTGTATAACTGATTCACTTTGTTATAAAGCAGAAAGTAACACACCATTTTAAAGCAATTATACTCCAATAAAGATGTCAAAAAAGAAAATCAACGTACATATTTCCTTTGAACTGTGATGTATAAAATAAAACGTAACATATTATTGCAATTAATGTAATATGGTGTTTAGGTACCCTGGGAACTTTGATACTTCTGTAATGAAAATGTGAACAAATATGAAAAATAAATTTATAAATCTTAGGATGTAACAGTTAGACTCAATGTCACCCATTTCTTCCAAAGGGGGCATTTTCCCAAGTATTCAACTGGTGAGTTCCATAAATACATTTTCAAAAATTGCATGGGACTTAGATGTGTCTCATGCCAAGTTGCTCATTTTATAAAAACATCTCAATAGATACACAAGTTGTCCTTGTGCACCCTTGAAATTCCATACTGGGAATATTTCCTTAGTATAGGAATTCCAATGTGGTGATACACCTGATGAACAGCTTTTACCTTGTTTTCGGCTTCGAAGTTATTTAGACATCAGAGGTTAAAGTCATATTAATTTATGGTTCATACTGTTTGCAAAAAGGAGAACATTACCTTACATAGATAATTCTGAAAGAGAAACATATGTAATGCACAATCATTGCAATTGCTCTTTTTTATGTTGGAAGAAAGTCTTTCCTGTTTTCTCTTTTTTAAATTTCAGATTTATTGAAGCATAATGAACATGGAAAAAATATGGAACGCTTCACAAATTTGTCCATCATCCTTGCAAAGCGCCATGCTAATCTTCTCTGTATCATTCCAATTTTGGAATATGTGCAGCTGAAGCAAGCACTCCTTGTAATAGTTCTTTAAAAGAGAAGTTTAAGTGAGAGTCCTTTATCCATAGTGCAGGCTATGCTGGGCACTCTTTTGGGAGCACCTGGGACTGAAACCAGTAAACTAGTTAAAAGTGACCTATGTAGTTACCACATTCATCTTTCCCTGGACCCTTTATAAACTTTGGGGGGCTCCCAGACTAGCATTTTTATCCCAGAGCTCATTAAATATTTATTGTTAGGTTTTCAGATTTTCCTTTCTGTCATTCCTAAGTTAAAATGTCTTTGGCCATCGAAGGTGCTTGAGGATGGGAGATAAATCAAAACAAAGACATGTTCCCAGTGATCCTAAACCTATGAAAAGCCCTGAGATGTCTTGTAATCAAGAAATCTGCTTCACTATATTTAACTCATCATTTTCCAAACGTACCCAACCAAGGAACACTTCACTTTTACTTTTGCTGCACACCTTTTAACACCGTTTGGTGCTAGTGCTCTGTGGGAGTAATGACCTCTAGGAAAGCCTTGGGTTACTTGTACTAGGCTATTTCATATATGTGAGCAATGGCATCTGGCCTTAGTATTCTGGAAATCCCCAGGAATAAGATTTGCCAGCCCTTTTCTGAGCAAGAAGACCAGCAGTTAATCGCAACTCTTAGGAAAACAGACCATGAATGTTTGCATTGATTTAGGCTCTGGCAGGTTTGGAGGTAGCAAAAACTGCTGGGCTAGCTCCAATCGGTTCAGAAACTGTCTTTCTAGGCTTAGCACTTTTTCTGCTGCTGAGATGAGGACAGAAAACGACCCAACCCCCCAAACCGAGAATGAGATTTGTTGACATGGTCCCCTCTGTTCTTAGATGCTGCTGCTCAGGGATGCGATTTGCCAGAGATCTCTCCCCTCCCCCTCTCCACTTAGTGGTTTTGAGAGGACAGGCTTTGGTAACTGAGTCCATGTCTTTGGAGAGGAGGTTCAGGGGGACCAGCATCACACCTGTGGCAAACAAAGAGGATCCCCCTCTTCCAATGAAGCCTGGAAAGTGTGTTGCTTCGGACAAGAGTTAAAGAAGAGAGTTTCAGAATATCAAGAGTTACTTGATTTTTTTTTAAAGAATCCTTTGCTGAGCCACAGAACAAATCCAATTCCATGTTTCTGAGAACCCATCTTTTTCCACTGTAGAAAAGTGAGTTTGCCTAAGGTTGGACAAATTAACTTTTTTTTTTTTAAGGAAACAGTAAAAAGTAATTTTCCCATACTGCAAAATTTTGAAATACTTGGCTTCAAGTTTCAGTGAGTTTTCTTTTCAATGAATATGATTTGCATTCTATTTAATACAGAATTTTTAAAAGTCAGCGTCTGTTTATATTGCATATAAGGTAGATCTAATGTGGACAGTTTTATACCAAATGTTTATCTTATGAGCCAGTAAAAGCTTGTAAATAAAAAACTTGAAAGTTTAACATAAGCCTTTTATTTAGTTGTGGTGTATCTTGGTCATTTTTATCAAATCTTTGAATTAGATGAGTGACTAGAATAACCTTTAGTTTCTATAAATTCTAATATAATGTGCAGTAAACTTGTACCCCCACGAGTAATAATGGAAGAGTTTTAAGGTGTTATGCAGATCTATAGAATCCAAGTCAAAGGATAAGTTATTACTCAGCTTTTGTAAGGGGCAGAGGAATTACTATATAGGAAATCTAAAAGCCCTAGACATTTTAGGGAAGGAGGCATACAGATATCGACATGAAAGTAACATGGGGATAATCTTGATTCAACTAATTATTTATGTAATCATTTTCAAATTCTAATGCTTTAACCAATATTAAAGCATGATTACTTCATTTATTCACTCATCCAAAAACAATTTTTGGGCCAAAGTGAGGAGGGGAGGTCCAAGGCAGGTGGGCAGGCAAGAAAGAGCTTCTTTATTAGCAACTCACTTTAGGAGCAGGATGGACCCTGGCAGCCTGGAGTCGGCCCCGGAAGTCCCTGCCCGAGGCCCAGCCTATCCCTACAGGCTCCAGACCCGGGGAACCAATTCCGGGGAGCTTGGAAGCTGAGTCATGCAGCATGCACCTGCGCAGTTCAGACTCCTGCATGCTGGTCTTCAGGCATCGCGGACCTCTAGGCCTGTGTGGACAGGGGCCACTCACAGCCAACAGCCCATCTTCTTGGGGTCAGCAGTTCCCTACACAGCGAAAAAAAAAGAGCTTCTCTTCTCCTGGAATTTTGGAGGCTGTACTTTAGTGCTTTACATTATTTTTATTGTTAGACAACATTATGCACATTGGTTTTCCTCAACGGATTGAAATCGAAGTTCTGTTGAAATGCAGTGGATCAAAATAGTTTTTCTTTGATAATGGTTTGCTCTCCTCTCCTCTATCGCAGTTTAGTCTACTTTCTCTGTGGTTCTAAGACTGGCAGCCTGAGCTTTCTAATAGTCAGGGAACCCTGAGCTTCACAGTGGCAGAGTTCAGGGGGTTGCATTTAAGGAAATGTATAGTTACTTTCGCCCAGGTGCACTCTTGCTACCTGTAACATCTGATTCCAGCTTCTGTGCCTCTATTTAGTCCTGTGTTCCCTCTGTGCTCCTCGTCTCTATTCCCTCCTCTCAGCTTCCAGAGCATTTTATATGAATTTAAATCTCGCCGCTTTCGACCTTGTAGTTATCTATTTACAAGTCTGATCTCTCAGCTTCATCTCTTTATACCCCAGAGTCTGCCATAGAGTTCACACTTAGAAAACTTCTATCAAATGTCAGATGAATAAATAGGATTTCACTTACACACAACTCCACAGGAAAGATGTGTTATCTGATGAGGGGAAACTTATCTTTGCTTCCAAAATTGTGTCTACTTTTTACATAAGAGCTATCTGGTAAAGAGAACCAGCATATTAGGAGGTAGAATTTTCTCCTGTGGACCTTTTCCCTTTAACATGTTCTCTCTACACTATTTCTTACAGATGAACTATCTATTATACTTTTTGAGTTTCTCATTCTTAATTTTTGGTAAATTCCTGGGTTGATTCTTTTAGAGATGAACAAATATTGGAACATGGGGACTAAGTGATGAAAGGGGGGAGAGGAAAATAATAGGGTAGAAGAGAAAAGTGTCCATGACTATGCCTGGAAAGAGAGGCAACGCACAACCAGCTTTGTTAGCTCAATTTTGCACAGTGTTAGTGAGTAGCTGAAATGGGGCAGAGTTGTGATGCGTCAAGGGTAGATAAGGACATTTTTCTATTTAAATATCTGACTCTAGGAGACGTCAGGAACTATTCTCAACAGTGTGTCCTTGGATCTTGAATGAGTCTAAGAGTCTTAGCCTTAGTTTTATGCCATGGTCCACTTGGATAATGGCAGCAACAAACACTCAAAAGGGCTCTGGGAGATCTCTTAGGTGGGAGAGAGGTGTAGCAGGGAGAGAGGTGTAGCAGGGGCTTGGGACCCATCATCTCCAAGCACTGGAGGAAGGAGAGGTGGGAGGGAATTGATGGAATGTGCTTCAAGATTCTTACCACCTACAAAGCCCAAGTGCTGCTGTGCTTCAGCCTCAATGATGTCTAGAGTCTTGAAGTACACTGGACTGTCACTCTTTGCTATAGACCAGAGATTCTCAAATACTCAAATCTTGTGTCTCACAAATCACTGTCAAGGGACTGGGCTCTCACCAGGATAGAAACCAAACTCCTCTGTTTTTCAGCAAAGGGCATTGATGTGTTTAGACAGTTTGTCAGCATATTTATGATTTTTGGTGAATTTCAAGGACATGATCAATTGCAGAAAGGCTATTGGATGTAAATGTGATTGCTACAGAACTTCAAAGTAATTTGTTGATAGGCTAGGGAACCAGAATTGGGAGAAACATGAGATGTTCGTGCTTATTCCTAGTCAGTGGGAAGCTCACAGATGGAGAATGGAGGGGAGGGTGCGAGGAGAGTAGATGGGAGACGACACGTGACATTTGCAGATGGGTAAAGTGTTGAAAGAGGGCCAGTGCTAAGTCATGGAGAGGCCATATGCTAGTGAGAGAATGCTTAGGCACTGCCACTGACTCTCAGGGTGGCCCTGAGAAAGTTAGCTAACCTCTCTGGACCCCATTTTCCTCATATATAAAATGGGTAAGATAATAATAGGGCCTGGGATGTAGTAAGTGCTTAACAAATGTCACCTAATGTTATTCCTGTGTTTAACTTTTCTGAAAAGTCTTCTATCTTCCTACAGTTATAAAGCTAAATTCAGTAAATATGGTTGAATCCGAGCCCTATCCCAAGGGAGGTTATTGCTTAAATACAAGAATAACATAATGAGAATGTTTTCATCTCCAAGGATCTCCTATAGCAAGGGGCCTGAAGACAGCTTGCTAGCAAGTCCCACCCTAGTTTCTTTGTGATTTCAAAGAGGAAGGATAGCAATATACTCTCGGTAATTAAATTGAAAAGTTTGCAGTATTTTTCACTTCTACATGGTTTTTTGTTGCTGCTGTTTTTGTTTTTGTGTTTTTTGGAATTCACAGACTGTTTTAACTTGATGAAATCCTTTTTAATAGAGGGGTTATAATTAATGGTTTAAATGCTTCCCTTTATCGACTATGAACTTTACAAGAGCAGAGACTATGTCACCCTCATCTCTGTATTCCCATGCTTGGTATTGCCAAGCCTGGCATAATGTAGGAACTCTGTGAATGCATTTTGAATAAATGCAGTCCTTTAGCTTTTCAAGTTATGGTGCTTTCCATATGTCCTAGTCCTAAGAGAATTCAGATGAAGTCTAGGGGAAATCAAAAGAAGATATAAAAGAGCTATGACAAAAATCTACTGATGCTTTATATTCATTCTCAGCTAGATTTTTAAAATGTCAATTACAAATTTCATGGATTACTAGAAAATCAAGGTTGATATACAGTGCCATAGCTAGAAATGTAGGGACCACAAAAAATATTTTTGAGTACAAACTTCCCAGAATAAGTTCTGGAGATCTGATGTACAGCAGTGTGACTACAGTTAATAATGC